ATGTTCAAGCCAAGGACCTAAGCCTGACGGCGGAGAGGACAACCTCTGGAGCCCGATCGGATATGAATCTGCCACACGCGCCATATGATCCGCTGCAAAGTTAGCTTCCCGATGAATGTGAGTTAGTCTAACTGACCAATCCCTCTTAAGCAGATCACAAATCGCCCGAACTAAAGCGTCAGCGTGCTGTCCATGCCCATTAAGCGATTCGGTCACCACTGTCGTAACTTCATGATTATCAATCTCAACCTCAACTTGCCGATACCCCAGATCCCATGCCAACACCAATCCGTGGAAAAGACCCCAACACTCGGCGTCCCTGGTTGTTCCTCGCCCAATATTTAGAACAAATCCACCAAGCCAGTGTCCTGCGCCATCGCGTATAAGACCGCCGGCACGACTCCATCCCGTGTGGAGATTCGAAGCTCCATCTGTATTCAATTTCACCCAATTTGTCGCCGGAGCAGCCCACCGGATTAGGCCCACCCTAAAATCAGAGACCCCGACGTGGCGAAGGGTAAGAACAAATTTTTAATTATTAAAAAGTTGCACTCTTTTTTCTTTAAAACTAAAGTGAAATTGGTTTGAATCTATTTTTCTCACTCCAATTCACATGTATTTGTGGCTAAATTCACTCGGATTGGTTAGTTTTTATTCATAAAAAAAAGGTATTGAAAAATAAATTAATCTCCAAAAACTTGAATCACACTTCCCAAATTAGGTTGCTAATAAATTTAGAATAATACCATACCATGAAGATAATAATTGCTTAAATAGGTAAATATAATTAATTTACTATGAAGCATATTTATTGGATATACACAATTCTATTATAGAACTGATAGCAAAATATTCGATATCAAATTATTTTAACCAGTCACTCATTTTAACTCTATTATAGAACTCATTTAGAGCTGAGGTATTGAGTTGGCCCCTTTTCCCCGGCTCCTAGTGTTTGGGATTCGGTGTGTTATCGGCTCTTCTGAGCCCTCTAGTGGTGTTAGGGGGGCTCGGTTGGCTGCGTTGGGAGCTCCTTGGTACCTTTGGTGTGGGGGAGAATCAACTTTTAGAGGGTCTCGTGGCTCGAGTTGCGATTCATCTAGGCTTAATTGCAGTGGAGGGTCGATTATCTCAAGCGGTGGGTCTCCCCTGGGTTGTTTGGTGGCTGCTAGTCTTGTTAGGAGTTGCTGTAGAGGGAGGGCTTGTGATTTTGTTTTTTTTTTAGTTTCTTTTTGTTGTCTTGTGTGGTAGGATCGTGTTTTGGTTTGGGCACTTTGTCTGAGTGTTGGTGTGATGTTAT